GAATGTGAAAAACTGGCCATGGATGCATTTATACTTTAAAATCAAACCCCTTTTGAAGAGTGCTGAGACTGAGAAAGAATTGGCTCAAATGAAAGAGAACTATGAGAAGATGCAGTCTGATCTGGCAGCTGCTCTGGCTAAAAAGAAAGAGCTGGAGGAGAAAATGGTTTCCCTGTTACAGGAGAAGAATGACCTACAGCTTCAAGTGGCATCTGTAAGTAAAAAAAAAAAAAACCTTATTTTTATTTATATTATCATTAAATATTTACAATCTCTGATGTACACCTGTTAATTTTACAAATACATTTATTAGGAAAGTGAAAACCTCTCTGATGCAGAGGAGAGGTGTGAGGGACTCATCAAAAGCAAAATCCAACTTGAGGCCAAACTCAAAGAGACAACTGAGAGACTGGAGGATGAGGAGGAAATCAATGCTGAGCTGACAGCAAAGAAGAGGAAGTTGGAGGATGAATGCTCTGAGCTGAAGAAAGACATTGATGACTTGGAGCTCACCTTGGCTAAAGTGGAGAAAGAGAAACATGCCACTGAGAACAAGGTGAAAATAGCTGAAGATGAAATTTTACTACTCACAGAGAACTAAGCTAATAATATTCCATACTTAATTCACATACAGGTGAAGAACTTGACAGAGGAGATGGCATCTCAAGATGAAGCTATTGCCAAGCTGTCCAAAGAAAAGAAAGCCCTCCAAGAGTCCCACCAGCAAACTCTGGATGACCTCCAGGCAGAGGAAGACAAAGTCAACACTCTGACCAAGGCCAAGACCAAGCTGGAACAGCAAGTTGATGATGTATGGCCATATAGTTTTATTCCATCATTAATCTCAATGCTTTTTCAGAATCTCAGCAAAACGACATTAAACTCTAATTACAATTGATAGCTTGAAGGGTCTCTGGAACAAGAAAAGAAGCTCCGCATGGACCTTGAGAGAGCCAAGAGGAAGCTGGAGGGAGACCTGAAACTGGCCCAGGAATCCATCATGGACCTCGAGAATGACAAGCAGCAATCTGAAGAGAAGATCAAAAAGTAAATTGTGTTAATTAATTAAATAAGAAGAAAATTAATAATAACAATACACATACTAATGAAAATGTGATTTTAGGAAGGACTTTGAGACCAGCCAGCTCCTCAGCAAGATCGAGGATGAGCAGTCTCTTGGTGCTCAGCTTCAGAAGAAAATCAAGGAGCTTCAGGTAATTACTGGAATTGTTTCTTACAAGTGTTTTAGCTCAGAAAAAAAAATAAATTGCTGTTCCTATGATCAAATGTAGGCTCGCATTGAGGAGCTGGAGGAGGAGATTGAAGCTGAGAGAGCAGCTCGTGCAAAGGTGGAGAAGCAGAGAGCCGACCTCTCCAGGGAGCTTGAGGAGATCAGTGAGAGACTGGAGGAAGCCGGTGGAGCCACTGCTGCTCAGATTGAGTTGAACAAGAAACGTGAGGCTGAGTTCCAGAAACTGCGTCGTGATCTTGAGGAGTCCACTCTGCAGCATGAGGCGACAGCCGCAGCCCTTCGCAAGAAGCAGGCTGACAGTGTGGCTGAGCTGGGAGAGCAGATCGATAACCTTCAGCGTGTCAAGCAGAAGCTGGAGAAAGAGAAGAGCGAGTACAAAATGGAGATTGATGACCTTTCCAGCAACATGGAGTCTGTGGCTAAAGCAAAGGTAAATAATTGTTTAAAAAAAATACTTTTAACAGCTTTTCAACATGCATACATAAATTTTTCTGTATTTGTACAGGCCAACCTGGAGAAAATGTGTAGAACCCTTGAAGACCAACTGAGTGAAATTAAGAGCAAAAATGATGAAAACGTTCGTCAACTGAATGACATGAGCGCTCAACGAGCCAGGCTACAAACAGAAAATGGTAAGTGTTTTGAGTTTAGAAATTATATTATTTGTATATATTAAAAGATGAGAAGAGTAAACATTACTTTTTCAGGTGAGTTTTCACGCCAGCTGGAAGAAAAAGAGGCACTTATTTCTCAACTTACCAGGGGTAAACAAGCTTACACTCAGCAAATTGAAGAGCTTAAGAGACATATTGAAGAGGAAGTTAAGGTATTGTGTTTATTTACTAGTTTTGTTGGTTTTACACAAGATTTTATTATAATAATGCAACATTTTCAGGCCAAAAATGCCCTGGCTCATGCTGTCCAGTCTGCCCGTCATGACTGTGATCTGCTCAGAGAGCAGTTTGAGGAGGAGCAGGAAGCAAAGGCCGAGCTGCAGAGAGGAATGTCCAAGGCCAACAGTGAAGTGGCTCAGTGGAGATCCAAGTATGAGACTGATGCAATTCAGCGCACTGAGGAGCTGGAGGAGGCCAAGTAAGTAGGACAATTTTTCTGTATACTGAATTCCAGAGACTGAGAATTTTGTATCTTTGTTTATCACAGGAAAAAGCTGGCCCAGCGTCTTCAGGAGGCTGAGGAATCCATTGAGGCTGTGAACTCCAAGTGTGCCTCTTTGGAGAAGACTAAGCAGAGGCTGCAGGGTGAGGTGGAGGACCTCATGATTGATGTGGAAAGAGCTAATGCTTTGGCTGCCAATCTGGACAAGAAGCAGAGGAACTTCGACAAGGTAAAAAAAAGATATTAAAACATGTTAATGGTGAATATACATTTAATCTAAAAATAAAATTCTTCAGGTTCTGGCAGAGTGGAAGCAGAAGTATGAGGAGGGCCAAGCTGAACTGGAGGGAGCCCAGAAGGAGGCTCGTTCTCTGAGCACTGAACTCTTTAAGATGAAGAACTCTTATGAGGAGGCCCTGGATCAGTTGGAGACCATGAAGAGAGAGAACAAGAACCTGCAGCGTATGGTCACATCTTTTTTTTTTTTTGTATTATACCAGTTCTACAACATGAAACATGCATTTGTAACATGTGTCTTACTAAATATCTTTTAGAGGAGATCTCTGACCTAACTGAGCAGATTGGTGACACAGGGAAGAGCATTCATGAGCTGGAAAAAGCAAAGAAAGCTGTGGAAACTGAGAAAGCTGAAATCCAGACTGCTCTAGAAGAAGCTGAGGTATTTTTGTGCCAGACCATTTAAAAGCTCCCACACAATTCTGCTATAAGCTTACACAGTATGTCTTTGTCTGACAGGGCACTCTAGAGCATGAAGAGTCAAAGATTCTCCGTGTTCAGCTGGAGCTCAACCAGGTCAAAAGTGAGATTGACAGGAAGCTTGCAGAGAAGGACGAGGAGATGGAGCAGATAAAGAGGAACAGCCAGAGAGTCACTGACTCCATGCAGAGCACTCTGGATGCTGAGGTCAGGAGCAGGAATGATGCCCTTAGAGTCAAGAAGAAGATGGAGGGAGATCTGAACGAAATGGAGATTCAGCTGAGCCATGCCAACAGACAGGCAGCTGAGGCCCAGAAACAGCTCAGGAATGTCCAGGGCCAGCTCAAGGTAAGAATAAGACAAAATAAACTTTATCCATCCTGAATTATGTTAATAATTTCTATTTTTAAGATATATGATACAATGTTTTCTTCTCTTAACAGGATGCCCAACTGCATCTTGATGATGCTGTCAGAGGACAGGAAGATATGAAGGAGCAGGTGGCCATGGTGGAGCGCAGAAATGGCCTGATGCTGGCTGAGATTGAGGAGCTGAGAGCTGCTCTGGAGCAGACAGAAAGAGCACGTAAAGTGGCTGAGCAGGAGTTGGTGGATGCTAGTGAGCGTGTTGGACTGCTTCATTCTCAGGTTTGGGTCTTGAAATCAGTCATGTAGATAATGCAAAATACAAAATATAAACCAAATATATCTCCATCAAACAGAACACCAGTCTTCTGAACACCAAGAAGAAGCTGGAGTCTGATCTGGTCCAGGTTCAGGGTGAAGTAGATGATTCTGTCCAAGAAGCAAGAAATGCTGAAGAGAAAGCCAAAAAGGCCATCACTGATGTGAGCTCACTGATTTAAACACGGTGTGTTTATAGCAGAACAAATTTACAATGACCAACATTTCAGGCTGCCATGATGGCTGAGGAGCTGAAGAAGGAGCAGGATACCAGTGCTCATCTGGAGAGGATGAAGAAGAACCTGGAGGTCACTGTCAAGGACCTGCAGCACCGTCTGGATGAGGCTGAGAACCTGGCCATGAAGGGCGGCAAGAAGCAGCTCCAGAAACTGGAGTCCAGGGTTTGTGTCAACTGATTTTTTTTTCACTGTAACAAAGATGACAAGTCATGCATACATTTTTTCTTTTAAAAGGTGCGTGAACTTGAGGCAGAAGTAGAAGCTGAGCAGAGGCGCGGAGCTGATGCTGTGAAGGGAGTCCGCAAATATGAGCGTAGAGTCAAAGAGCTGACCTACCAGGTAATTGTATTTATCAGATGTTCAATTGAATATTAATTAAATTAATCAATAGTAATTATTTGCAATTACTTTTAGATGTACAATGTGAATCTAGTATTATACAGTTAGACAATCATACCAATTGCTTCTTTTATAGACTGAGGAGGACAAGAAGAATGTCAACAGACTCCAGGATCTGGTGGATAAACTGCAGCTTAAAGTTAAAGCTTACAAGAGGCAATCTGAGGAAGCTGTATGTACTTTAAAATACATATTATAATTGTAATTTGATAAAGTTAATGGAATATTAAATTGTTTTATAGGAGGAGCAGGCCAACACTCATATGTCCAGACTCAGGAAGGTTCAGCATGAACTTGAAGAAGCTCAGGAGCGTGCTGATATCGCTGAGTCCCAGGTCAACAAGCTCAGAGCCAAGAGTCGTGATGTTGGAAAAGTAAGTCTATTTCTTTGTTATTGTTTTTTAACACATAAGCACAAGTTATTTACCCAGACAAGCAAAAGCTGTTAAATCGTGTACAAAATTAAAGCTAATAAATAGTACAAAGCAGAAACCTCAAAAAGAACTCATTCAAAATATATTATTTTTTGCTGATTATATTTTATGTCTTTCTTCAGGGAAATGATGCAGAATGAAGATCTTTTGCCTTGTGGAATGAAAAATCTTGTGTATATGATAAATAAACAAAAATAACATTAACACTGTCTCTTCTTATTATTGTTGAAGTATCTAAAAGTCTTTCATTTATTTATTTATGTAACAATAGATCCCTAATTTCCCCTCCCATTGTACTGTGACATTAAAAAAAAACCAAAAAAAAACATTGTAGTCCCATTAAACGACACATTTAGGTAATTTGGCAATGAATAAAGCCAACACAATAACATTGCTACATTGGGGAGGAAAAGAACTCCTGATGAATCAACAAATGACCAAGCAAACGTTAGGAGAAAATATGGCTACAGTCTTGCATGTTTAAACCAAAATATAACAATGATGGTTAAATTATTCTACAGATTGACATTATTTATAAACATTCATCCTTATTGTTCCAACCTTTGTGGCTAAAATAAAAAGGCTTAAAATTTCATCTGTAATAATAATAAAATAATAATAATAATAATAATTAGAAGAAGAAGAAGAATATATATTATATTTAATCATAATAATTGGCTCAACCTGTTTTGTGTTTATTTCCACTCTTATCTTTCTTCATAACCTTTTTCCCCTTATCTTGAGTGGGCTTATTCTTTACTTTTACTTTGTTGCCCTTTCTAACAGGAGCTCTCTGACCTTTCACAGCCTGAGTAATAGCCACAAGCATGGATTTGCCTTGGGGGCTTGATGGTGAGTGAGTGGGCATCCTGACTGTAGGAGATGGTGGTCCAGAGTGAGATTTCCAGGGACTTGGATGGTTTGGAGGAGTTTGTTTCATATCCGCCTCTTCTTTTGGGATAAGGTTGAGACTGAGGGAAAGGCGTCTTCCAGGGACTGGGCTCAGAGGAATCACTAGGTTATCTCCAGGTGCTCCAAGAGTCAAGAAGAGCTCTGGGAAGCTTCTGGGTTGGTCAGGGTTCATCAGTCCCTTTAAACAAATATTGAATAATTATGTAGTTGTCATATAAGTTATTTTACCACTTTTCTTACCTGTAAGGATGAAAAGCTCATGGACACTCTAACTGTTAGCTGGAATGAAACAAATGCAGCATTTACTCAAGAGTACAGAGTACCAGACAAGAGCAAAACACATCATGTAAGATAAGATTATTAAATGTCAATGTCAGTGTTATTCTCTTTCAGAAAAGAGAATAATAGGGTATATTAATTATAGTACCTGCACTGGTGATGTCTCTTGACTGTATGAGGCAGATTTTGGAAGGGATCTCAATGAAGTGGGTTCAACATACTCCTGCTGCATGGATAAAGGTCTTGAGAATTCCTTCTTTGATGTGGTTGGTGTACTTTGTGTTACAGTTATCTGTGGTGCTTTTTTCTAAAAAAAACAAAACAAAATAAAAACATTGAAATTAAGCATATTTAAAACCATATCAATTTGCCATCCAAAAGATTTAAAGGGAATTGACCCAAAATAAATAAATAAATAATACAATAGAAAAAAACTGTAAATTTACAGGTAATGCATCTTCTGTGTAAACAGCCTTTCGTTTTTCAGTTGATGTCCCACTTGTCCTGGGTAGGACAGGGGGATCTGCACGTTGATTATTCAGCTGCCTTTCAGGACTTCTAGAGAATACATCAGTCTCTGCACCTGTTTACAGAGTATCAGTGTATCAGAGTAAGAAAATATTACCAGACCCTTGACCCGTATGTAGTTCTGACCTCTGCCCATGTTATTTAAAGCACTGCCATTGTGTGTGGGTGTGACAGGGGTGCTAGAGGGTAGAGAACAACGCTGCTCCTCCATACGTCCCTTCTGGGCATGCTTCATAATTTTTAAAAAATTGCTCTTGTTGAGCTACAGATATTTCCTAAAAACATCAATCAATAATTAATAAGATCATACATTTCATTCAGATCATTACCTTATATTTTCTACAAAATAATAAAAATTATTACTACAACTTTTGCAAACCTTTTTGCTGTTCTTTCTCCGATTTAGAGAAGAAGATCTGTGAAGAGCTTTATCAGAGTCTTTGCACTGAAAAGAAGGACTCATATTCTGAAAAATAAAAGGTGCAGAACATCTCTGCTCATCCATCCTGGAGCCCTGAAGGACAACAATTAGTATGCTATGTTATGCAGATCCAAATAACCTGGAAATAGTGATAAAATAAAAACTGCTAACACACTTGTACTTTAGACACCATGTAGCAGAGGTAATTTGCATCACTTTCAGCGGCATTATTTTTTTTGCCTCCATTCTGAATCCCTGGTAATGATGGGAGAGACACACGCTGATCATCAAGGCGATGACTTTGAGAAGTGGCAAGCTGACTGAAAAATGCTTCGGAATCTGGCAAAATGACAAATCAATTAACTGTCAGAAAAACACGCATATCTGAAATAAATGAAAAGGTAACACTGACCTTTTGGTGATTTTTCAGGTGTTTTTTTGCGCAAAGATTTTGGTGTAGCTTTTAGCTCACAACGCTGATCCTCCATTCTTTCCTGTTGTACTCGACTAATCATGTTAAAGAAGCCGTCCTGTTCAAGTAGATTGGGGCTCTATAAGAAAAGAAAACTGTTTAACATCTATGATGACAATAATGGGGACCAGATAAAATACCTTTTTAACAGATTTCTTGTTGGATGGAAACATGTCTGCATTTGTGCAAAAAGAGGCAGATCGTGTACGTTCTGAACCATTTATGGATAAAATATCACCAGTTATAATTTGTGGCAGAGAACATCTTTGGTCATCCATCCTGGATCCCTTTAAACAAAAAAGTGTGGTTGGAGACATTTTATACTATGCCCAAAGTAACAGGATAAATAAAAGCACAAGTGCTTGGCCAAACACTTTACCTGCACTTTTGAAACCATATAACAGAGGTAGCTTGAGTCTGGATTTGAAGAGGTGTCTTTTTTTAATCCAGGTAATGAGGGTAGTGACACTCTTTGATCGTCCAGCCGTCTGCTCTGAGAACTGGCCAAGACATTCAAAAAAGTCTCATTCTCCAATCCTAGAAAAAAAACACAAGAAGCTAAGTTCTCTGAAAAATCCTTCATGTAAGGAATAATTACACCCTTTTTCATTCCTTTCTCTATTCTTTACATGGCTGATGTTTCTGAAAAGCTACAGAGGATTTTCAGACATGAAATCCCAGTCTATTTCAAACCGACAAACACAAGTAGCCAAGGTTGATACCATTTTGCTGAATTAATATCTAAGGCAAATAGTAATATCATAACTGTATCTTACCTAAATTTTGAATGGGTTTCCTCCGCGTGTTATGTGGTGAGCATGGAGCACTTCTGTTTGGATCTAAGCGACAGCACTGATCTTCCATACGTCCTCGTTGGCCATAATGGATCATATTAATTAATTTGTCTTCCTCATTAGGCACTTGTTCCTGAATGACCAGAAATGATATATGTGTATAGTATAAGAATGACATTAAAATTCAAATGCCTTATAAACCTTGTCATCAGCTGAACACTCAGTCTCAGAGGGAGCCTGTATTTGATTTGGTACACACTTCCTTTGTGCTTCAGGACTGCTCTCTGTAACAGAGATCTGAGGTGCAGAGCCATGGTGATCAGTGAATTGTAGTTCCTAGAAAAATATGTTTTAATTATACTATTCTGACTATTCTTTAAACTTAGGTAAGTCAGTTCTCTGTTCTGTACCTGGTAGTTGAGCAATGACATTTGGTTGTCAAACTGCCCTGTGTCCTTAGGTGACTCTGTGAAGAGAAGCAGGCATCACAACAAATTCACATGTAAATCTGAAGCTCTTGTGTTTTTTCTGACCTGCTGGTGTGGACATGTTGAGATCTATGTACTTCTTTCAATTATTTATTAGATCTAAAAGAAATCTGTTATATAAAACTTCACAAGCCAGGTAAAATTATGATCTGTGGACAGTCTTATAGAAATAAATAACACCCAAATATGAAGTCAACATTATGCTTTGTAAAAAAAAAAAAAAAAAAAAGTTACTATAGAGTAATTATAAAAGTCTTACCAGATTAAGACTCGGCTCTTCCCAGCTGCTGCCTTCTGTCCAATGAACACTTTTAAAGAAAATATATTGCTGTAAGGTCTTGTCTAAAAACCAAAAGGATCCATTGATTTATCAAAGTGCAAACATGACCGCATCATAAAAAGTATTCAGTTTGATGTTATCCCAACAGTATAAAGGATGGAGCTGGGTAAAAGGCTTTTAGAGTTAAATCACGAGTATTAACCCATTGGCATTAAGACCTGCGCCAGCGCACTGTTCCTAGTATTACCATCTGTAATCTCAGATGGAAACATAATCCTCTACATCAAGAGAGATGATCTTTTTCACTGATAGGTGTAGGCTACATGTTTTCCTCTTTGATCCACAAAGACAAAAGTTCACATTTACACTTAATGTGAGACTGTGAGAACAAACTTCACAATTTACTTAGTCAAAGAGCTAAACAAGGATGGATTTAAAGATACTATTTTCTAAAATATTACTTGTATGTTGTTGTTAGTTTTGTTTATGTAAATAAATACACTTACACCAGTTTCATTGTGTTTAATTTTCACCACAGCTGTTTCAAGCCAAGTATAAAGAGTGGTAAATACTTCATACAGCAGTTTAGACAAGATAAAACAGCACATGGTTTATATAAATATAATTATATATATATGTGTGTGTGTGTGTGTGTGTGTGTGTGTGTGTGTGTGTGTGTGTGTGTGTGTGTGTGTGTGTGTATATATATATATATCCTTTCTTCTAACAACAAATTCTGTGTATATTCCTGACAGAATGTGACCTGAAGTAGTAGAAACAAAATTATAAGAGAAGACAGAAGGAAAACAAACTATGACAAAAATATAACAAATTATCTTAAGCGTGCACCTATCATTCAAGTACAATTCACCATGGCAGTCTAGGCAACCCATTTATTAATTAACATTAAAATAATCACTTCTTTATTTAGTCATTTAAAAACATCATATACACCTAACAAAGCATGCTGTAAGGTCCCGGGGGAGACTTTTCTAAGAGTCAGAGTTCGGAACTTGGTCAAGACTCTTCAGGTCGTTTAGAAAGATGGTGGGAGTCAATATGTGAGATGAACCTAGAAATAAAGGGAAATATTAACATAAAAAACTTTATTTATTCATTAACATACTTCTTTTTTTCTTAGTTACGTACCAATGATCACTTCCCACTTTCCGTCAGTAGCTCGAGTGACTTCGTAAGCTGATCGCATTTCTGAGTGGGACAACCCCCCAATAATAAAAATGATGAGACGAGGGCCAGAGCGATATTCTGTTGGAGACTTGTTTTTATGCCAGTGTCCAAAACGCGCACTACTGTAAATGGGAAATGCCACTTAATCATTGCAAATAAACAGGCATTATAAAAAATATGTTACAGTGGGTGGCAGTAACTCAGTGGTTAGAGTGCATGCTGTTGTTGTGTCCTTAAGCAAGTCAGTTCGCCCACTTTGTCTTCAGTGTTGAGAGTACACTGGTGTATGGATGAAAGTGTGAAAATGAATGTGGGACAGCGGATGGAAGTTAGCCTATAGCACAATCTTTATAAGGGTCTCATGTATGTTTATTAACATGCACTGCCTTGACCAAATAAACAAATAATGTGCAAAAGGTTAGCTCAGCTTTCTTCATTTAGGTTTATATACCTTTTCAGTGTGCTCCATTTTTGATAGGACCACAGAGACCTTACCAACTGCTATGAGCTACTTCTTGTTTCTTCATTTACTTCTTAAGAATATCAATAATGAAGGTTACACTTCTAGTCCCAAGTCATGGCCAAAAAGCTTGACAACAGCTTGAAAAGAAAAGTGGGCCCCATGACTGCAAACCTTTAATATTATTGTTATATTTTTCTGGATCCCAGTCAAGGGCCTCTTGTCCCCCTTTTGTGCCCCTGCTCACAGTTGTCAGTGTTATGGCATGCACATTTTTATCTCTGCACTTAAACAGGAAGTGAAATGAGCAGTGAGCATTACGCAGATTATGTGTGATCTTCAGTGGAAAGGAGCTTTTATAAGCACTGTCATCATGACAGGAATTTCACAAGGGATTTAGAGAGCATTCAAAACAAAATGGCTTAATATCACTTTCAGAACCCCTCAAAGCTTGGCTCAAATTTAGTTACAGGAATAATAATGTAACAACAGACTGCACTGTCTATTAATAGGCATGCCTGAATAAGAGGTATAGATAGCCAAGCCCATGGTGAGAGATAATAATTCAAACTTCATAATACCCTCATAACAGTCATCACATTAGAGTGTAGGCCATACCTGACAGCAGTGGTAGTTGTATTGATTGGAGCTGGATCAGCAACAAAAGGCCATTGCTTTTTGTCCAGTTTGTCATCAACAGCATTCTGGACAAAATATTACAGTACAGTATGTACAATATGTACAGTATTGTAGGTAAAGGTTAGGAATATATGTCATGATCATTATCTTTACTACCTCCATGAGATCTTTAATGGTGGGTGTCCATCTTGAAAGCTGGTATGTGCTCTCTGTGCGCTCCTTTCGTTCTGGTAGAGTTTTCCCAGCATTTCGTCCCTGAATAACAAAACAATTTAGACAGAAAAGAATAAAATATAATTTTAAGAGCAGCACAATAAAGACAAGTACCCCAGCGATGATGTTGCAGCCCAGATTCTGCAGGTTAGTGATGATCTTACTGTCCTCATGTATGTTGGCATGTTGGATAAGCTTGGCAAGGTTCTCTTCTCCAATGCCTACAAGTAAAAGAGTTTATTTTAAACAGATGTTTGCATTAT